CCTTTTAATAATAAATACTGAGTTTTTGACTTGAATGCACGTCTCCGGCTCTCCTTGTACCTGTAAAATAATTTGTTTGTGGGTTCAGGCAGAGACCCTCACACTGGGGTTGGTCACAACTACTACAGCAGTACTAAATTTAAGACTTTTTTATTGCATATGTTTTTCTTTTGATGCTGGACTTGAAGTATTACTATTAGTAGAATATATGTGTATTACTGCCTTTAATAAGAAAAGGACTGTACGAGGACTTTTTCTGCTAATGGTAGCCAATGTAATATTTTCTCCCACAGCTCCCAGAGTATCACTGAAGTGAGACCAGAGACTGGAAAAGGTCTAGACTGCTTTTATTTCAAATATTCAGTCATTTCAATAATTCTGTCAACCACGCTAAGTTAAAAAAAAAAAAAAAAAAAGATGCAAACAGGCAGTACAATGAATAACTTTATTTATTTCATTGTGTTAGATGGAACTACATTTGGCACAAACTTAAACTTTCTTCAGCAGGATCATCCGTAGATGATTTCGATCAGTCTGAGACGGCAGTGGAGAAGAACAGCAGAGTCACAGTCACATGTGTATTTTACTGTCTTCTTATGGAAAAAGGCTCCCAGACACAAATATACATAAACAAAACTAGTCCTTATACTTGATCCTAGTGATGATGATGATGATTTTTCATAATAAATTTCCCAGAGCAGGCATAAAAGAACCTCGTCTATGAACCATCATGACCTGTAGTTTACCACAGAAGACTGAGTGCTTGGTTGGTACGTACGGAAAAAGCATTTAGAATTTCTAAGGCAGTAGACACACGGACACACAGACTTTTATTACACCCTGATGTCCAATATATGAACCGTTATACATAAATAAAGACATAAATCAGCAATAAAGTTAAGGACATGATTGATGTGATGATAGCTCTGTTTGTACGATGTATTAGCAAAACACCTCTTCATAAGTCTATGAAGTCTATTTAATTAACAAATTCAATGACTCCTTTTTTCCCTTCCAAAGTGAGCCACAGATATAGGGAACAATCTGATCAAAGCATCGAGGTCTGTTGGGTCAAAATAACATTTTGACATTCTGGTCATCCAGGGAGAGAAGCTAAGGGAAAATAAGAACAGTGCAAATTATTGGGACTGTACATGTAACATATATGTATACAGGAATAAGAAATTATTCATATCTTACCTGTCACTTCCTGCTATTTGAACTCTCTTTGAGTCAGTGCACCGATGACCAACACCAAGAATGACCAGCAGGGAGCAGTGCAAGATGCTTAATGTAGTAAAGAGGACAACCATTACCATCACTCACCGTTAAAACATCTGAAATTCTGACAAACAACACATTTCTGCACTATTTTTTTTTTTACCTTTCAGGTTCAGAACTGTGGAGTTTTCCATCATTGTCACCATATTTCTGGCAGTGCAGGTGTAATTCCCAGTGTCTTCTGCCTCTAGCCTCTCTATAATGTACGAGGAGGTGTTAACATGCGTCTCATTGCCGTTCAACGTCCAGCTGAAGTTTGCCGGTGGGACAGAAGCTGCTGTGCACAGCAGTGTCACTCTGTAGCCCGGTGGAGCTGCTGATGGGCCAATAATTGATATGTTATGTGGTCCAACTGTACGGATGAAAGACACACACTGTGTGAGGGTTGCAAAGTTAAAATCTGTGCCTAAATGCCTTTATAAACTGACAAATAAATAAATCAAGAGACAAGTCTTAGTCGAATTAGAATCTTTTTTGCTGTCAGTGTAAAGCGAATACTCACAGTTGACAGTGAGATGATAGGCCGCCGTCATGGAGCTGACCGGGTTGCTGACTCGACACTGGTAGGTGCCGTGATTGGTGCTGTCAACAGGCTTTATGAACACTGTCTTGTTGCTTATGGAGAAGCTGACTCTGTCACTGGGACGAAGAGGTTGGCCATCTTTTGTCCACACTCTGGTGCGAATGGAGCCAGAGGCCTCGCAGGTGAGGTTAGTGGAGCTTCTGTCTTCTATCAGGATGGTTTCAGGGCTGCGGATGGTGGCTTTGGATATCAGCGCTGCCAGTGCAACAAAAGAAGTGGCAGTTCAGTAAAGATGGTCGGAGCATAAAAAAGGAAACAGAATCGCTGTTGGAAATTAGTATTGGTCCTAAAAAGTTAGATTTTGCAGTAGACATTCCTGAAAGCAGTCCTGTCTCTCTATGTAGATGTTTCTGTAGTAGTACTTTAAATAACATTTGGTAAACCTGGACAGACAGCATCACCATCATGTTGGTTTCTGATATTTAAGGTGGCACATATTTTTTTTCCCCAGTGAAAGACAAAATGTTAACTGTCCGTCATTTAAAAATAGTAGAAATAACATTTTTCCTAAAATTTTCTTGAGTCAAAATCCTAAAATGACAAACGTAAACACCATCAAGAGCATAGAAATGGTGCAGGTAAACTATAACTGAACTGAATTGTACACACTTTATTTTGAATTGCATCCATCTATAGAAGGATGCAATTAAAAATCACAGCTACAGAAAATGAATCAACCTTTCTTAATCTGAAAAAAATTAAATCTTGTGGCCCATAAAGCTCGACAAATGTATTCACTGCAGGGCTACTTTTACTTTATTAGGTGTTTCAGTTAGATGTTAAAACATGTTGGGTACCTGGAGAAAAGAGATGAAGATTAACCTCTTGACATACTGAATAAGTAGCTTTAAGGATAGTAAAATTATTCTCACTGACTGACAGTATTGGCTTGTTCCAGATCTTAAGTAAATGTGATGAACACAGTGAGAGAAATATTCAAGCACAAGCATTTTATGGAGCGTCACTTGTTCGTTTTTGATATTTGGTTTTGTAGTTGAGCACCTACTTTCTCAATGTTTTGTTCATCATTTTATATACATTTCCTGAACATTTAGTCCAGTCTGCACCACAATAAATTGTCTCACTTACTTGTGAGTTTGTGAACTACCCACCATAGACATCCAGAGTGATCTTCCCTTGTTTCTGCAGCCCTGCATCTGGAATGATGATGACCGTGTACTCCCCGCTGTCCTCCAGCACCAGGTTTCTGAGCTCCAGGCTCCCCGTGGCTCGGTCTAATGAGATCCTGTTGACGTGTCCGGGTTCGGTGACGTTGACGCTGGTGGAGGTGATTATGTTCACCCCTTTAAAGCTCCAGCTTACAGACAGGAACGGATTCTGAGGAGGTCTAAGGGTGGTGGTGAACTTCACTGCGCCCGCTACAGCTCCACTCAGGGGTCCCGGAGGTAGAATCCCCTCACCTGCACACATACCTAATTAACCCAGAGAGGAAACACAGGGCGACACTGTGAAATTCTGTACTGTGAACAACGAGGAGCAGCATGTTGACGGTAATCTCAGTTATAAATGCAAGAAAGCAAGACATAGCACATGAAATCAGATTACAACTGACATTATTTCACAGCCAAACATCATCTGGTTGTTCACTCTACCTGATAAAATAAGCACCACTGCAGTCCAGGGCACACTCTTGTCCAAGGCATACAATGACTTATTCAGCATCGTCTCTGCCTCTGTCCTCAATCAGGAACAATGAGAGCCACAGAGGTCCTCTTGCTCTTTTATTGTCCCACTCCCAAAACACAGGACCAACTCCAGCCCCCCCACTCACTAATGAAAAGCACAAACAGTGTTTACGAAACCACTGTGTACATACCCCAAACCGCCTCTAGCTTTATACAGTATGTTCAGTCAGGAGTTAACTGGACTGTGAATAATGGACTTTAACTATTCTTTAGTCCACATTTTGCTTTACATTCTAACTGAAACACGAAGAAAAGGAATTAATGGCCATCTAACAGCTCAGCAGATCACAGTGAAAAGTTGTACCGTCATCTGAGTTTGGTAATCGAACAGCTTTCCCTTAATATTGTAATCTCTATCGTTACCGTAAAAATTGTACATTACATTATTTTTAAGACCTTACCCTCTTCAACCCAACTCAAGCCTGCATTAATACAGCTTTAAATTTATCTCAAGGCATTCTTCATAAGGCCTAATCAAGAAAGAAGTGAGCTGTACATATACTATATACACATAACTATGCCATAATCAGAGGTTATGGTGTTTAAACCAGTGAATGAATCCATCATTTGAAGAGTTCATTTGCAATAACCGATAACTTCATCTTCACAAACCTTCAGAAAACCCACTTTTCCATCATCTACCTCAGACAATATCAGTCCAACTTAAGCTGTCTCTATTTTTGTCATTTCTACTGAATCAAATCCACTCAGCTTCAGTTTGATTGATATTATCTCAAGCTAGCAACAACAAAATATGTTTTCTGAAAATCTACTAAAATGGCGTTATCTGTTTTTGCAAATGAACTCTTCATATATATGGTTCTTGAAAACTAGTGGCGTGGTGAATTCTTAACACACAGACTCATCAAAGTCCTCCGCGATAAAGTTGTTTCCACAAAACAAGGAACAACTCAGTTTAAGAATTGATTAAATGTATTACATGTATTAACATGTGTTCCAGAAGCCTGAGTCATGCCGGTGGTTGTGCTCCTGATGGGGGGTGGGCTGCGTGTTGTGCATCAGTTTTATGAGCTCTTCAGTAAGTGGTTTTGGGTCTCCCTCTAGGTTGTGTTTGAGAGTCTGCAGTGAGCCGTAGCATTCTTTGAGGAGGAGGATCAAAGACATCCAGGAGACACACATCCTGCTCAGACAGCTTTCCAAACAGATCGCTGGCTTCGGTGTCTGCAGGTACAAAAAAAGTTCAATGAAAAATGATTTTATTAAACGCCTAAATACAGTGTGTTTGTTATAGCCGTGGCTTACACTTATCAGTCCAGAATTAGTTTGATTAGTGTCTAAACACTGTGATACAAACATCACATCAGCACAAACAATGTACTATCAATACATCACACGTGTCAGTAGCTCCTGACATGTGAGTGTACAGTATGGGAGGGAAAACATGTCAACAGAGATGTGGTGAGTTTCTTACCCTGTTGACTCCCAATAACAATGTGCTTTTGTAAGTGGCACTCAGTGTAAATATGATGTTACTCAACCACTGTATGCTGGAGGGGATGGGAGTTAATGAGGCTCATTGGATGCAGGCCGACTGATGAGACAACAGTCAGTGGATTTGATTTGTCATCACAATGAAGCAATGTTTCTATCTGTGACATATACATATAGATCTGTCTTTAAGTATATCAGTATACACACACATACACACCATGCCCTGATGTCCTTACATCTGGTTAAAATATTATTAAGCATTTTATACAAAGCTTGATTTCGCAACAGAAACTGACGCTTTATGTGATACAGGATGCATTCCTGGCATATGGAGTCATGCTACGTCTTTACATCTTTATGACCTCTGAATGGATTCTTTGGCTGTTCTCCAGGTCCGTGAATACGTCACAGTAAATATACTGTGATGCAGACAAAGACCACAGTTGAACGAATACATTTTATAAAAGGTTTCCAGCATAATAGTGACCAAGCTTTAGCTCAGTTCATAAGGTAGGAATGTTCATTATAAAAAAAAAAGATTGTTCAGTTGTATGGGTGGTTTCACAGTAGAATTAAGGTTAAATATAATTATATATGCGATAACTTTTTTGATTGTTTTTTGTTATTAAGTTGAGAAACAGTTTTAACTCAAAAACATGCATTCTTTAATATGGGCTGACTCACCAAATGTTCCAGAGTCCACATAAGAGGAGGAGGATGTAAGATGATCAAAAGTTCTTTTAAACTTAAGTTCATATTTTTAACTTTAGCAGTGAAAAATAGTTTAGTTTTGTGGTTCTAGGGCAAGAAAATTCACATGTAGAAGAAAACATGGCTTGTGTGTTTGTAAAATCTTTACAACTGACAGAAACTTCGTTCTAAGATCTAATAAGGTGAAACTTTTTTAGGTGGCTTTTGTCCCAAGTTGACCATTGACCTCAAAGTGCAGCTACTGCCTGGACTTATCTGCTAGTTGTTAAGTTTGTTAATATTTTACAGCTGGAAAAAGCCACTGTGTGAGTGTCAATCTGAGGTCCTTCCAAATGTCCAAAATGAGTACTCACACCCCATATTCTACCTTTGTCTTGCTTTAATTGAACCATCAAGGTTCCCTTTTTATTTTCAGCACAGGCATGAATTAATCAGCGACTGATGTTGGAACCTGAAGAGATAAACATTGAGTCCACCTCCTCTTACACCTGCAGTCACATGAATGAGAGGTAGACTTGGGGGTAGAGAGATTGTTCTCAAAGATATTCAGCGTTTTTATTGTAAGAATATTTTTCTTTGTTGTTTCGTAGCTACTAATTATATATGTTGTAGTTTGATGCAAAGCAACAGCGAATAGAAAGACGGAGCCAAGTGGTGCCAAAATGAAAACACTGCAGTATAGCAATTAGTAGATATTTCTGTGCTGTGGGACGTGTCTTCTGGATGCTGGAAGCTGCTTAGTCTTTCATCAGTATTTTGGGATTTATTCTGTTTACAACTTGTCAATAAGAAAGAGAAAAGCATACTCAGGAGAGACTAAAGTGGAAATATGAAGATAGATAGATAGATAGATAGATAGATAGATAGATAGATAGATAGATAGATAGATAGATAGATAGATAGATAGATAGATAGATAGATAAAGGACCAAGAAGGCCATAGCCAAGTACGGAAAAAGAATAAGTCTAATAAAGGAAACGAGGGTAAAACCATAAAAACAAAATGAGAAGTAATGATAATATTAGCAGTAAATAAATAAAACATATTCATTAAGTAAATGGATGCAAGATAAAAGAGAATAAAATAAAAAATAAAACAGAAAATAATCAATTTGATGATAAAAAAATAAACTTTAAGACCCAACTGCTACTGATTTTATTTTATTTTTTGTAACGCTGATTAAACAAACTCTGTCCCCCTTAGGTTTCTGTCTCGACTTTGGAACAGTCAAAAGGACCCAACCTGAGGATCGGCTGTGAACCGGCTCATAAGGGATCAGCAGTTTTGGTAAATGACTTGGGGCCAGACTATGACGAGCTTTAAAAGTGATGAGTAAAATCCTAAAATCAATTCTAAAACAAACAGGGAGCCAGTGGAGGGAAGCCAGGATCGGACAGTTTTTCCCTTCAAGCTCAGGTCCTCTACCTGATCTGGGAATCTGAGGGTTCTGCGCAGTATCTTCACTGTTCCTGGGGCTGAACTCTTCTGGACAGAGACCTCAGATGTTGTTCTAGGAATCAGCTGGAGCCGCTCCTCCAGTTTGTGGGTCACTGCTCCCAGTGCTCCGGTCACCACTGGCACCGCTGTTGTCTTTACTCCCCACATCTTCTCAAGTTCCTCCTTCAGCCCTCGGCACTCCTCCAGCTTCTCATGTTCTTTCTTTCTGATGTTACTGTCACTCTGTATCCCCACATCTATCACCATCGCCTTCTTCAACACAATGTCTGGCTGGTTAGCCACCACCGTCTTGTCAGTCTGGATCTGGAAGTCCTGCAGGGTCTTAACTGGGTTGTTCTCCACCACCTTGGGAGCTGCCTTCCACGTCGACCTTGGGACTTGATGCTGACATTGTTATGAAGATTTTATGATTTGAGATGGAATGATGAAATAGTTCTTCTATTCTAATTCTAACTCACCCAGTACAGAGACAACTGAAGACTTGATATCTGAGTTTTGCTGCTAAAGGCCTGACAGCTGTTGTCACCTCTCTGGCTCTTCTGAACGTTCATCAGTCTGAGCTCTGATGCTGTGTGAGGCATCTTATCTCCTTTCAGAAACTAGTGAAGCAAAGCAGCAGGTCTGGAAGCAGCTGAGACGATTTCAAGTTAATATTTTCTGGGCCAACTGGGGAGAAAATAGATGAACAACACAGTCACCCATAATAAATATTGACTTGAGAAAAGCTATGTATAGCATTTAGCTTGGCTGAGTCTGAAGGGAACATAATGCATAAGTATGTCATTTAGATGCCGAACTGCATAATTAAAACTAAACACAGTTATTTGCTCAGTACTTGCAAATCACTGCAACAAGCAAATAGCAACAAGTACAATAAAAAGTCATTTAGACACAACCGCGCCTGCCGTGATGGTTATAGTGCTTCAAATGAATCAAGCTGCAAATTTAAAAGGCTACATCCCATTTGCATTCAAATGTGATATCAAAGGGTGAATATGCGCGCTGCATAAAGACTGATGAAGAGTTTAACTGGATCACGGGTATAATTACTCAAGTTATTGAACACATAACACGTGAATCCCTGTTCATAGCAGTCACATTAAT